CAATTCGCAATCTTATCCAAATGTCGTAGCTCAAAATGGAGTTCATCTTATTTATTTCGTCCTTACATTGTTTCCAGCCGCACACTTCAAGCCTAAGGTAGATCCAAGAGATGCTGACCACAACAGACGATTTATACGTAAGTTTTTTTTTTCAATTTTTTCTTGTCACTCGTGTTCGTATTCATGTTCCTCGTTTAAGCCCAAAGGTTGCCACTGGAATTCATTACAGATTATCTGGCGTGAAAAAGATCAGATTGCTAGGTTAGGAAAGCTGTAGCCATGATGTACACTCGAAATTAACACGCCCTTAATATGAGTAATATCTTGTCTCCTGGATAAAAACAAATAAAAACAAATGCAATTGAAGACTCTTACAGTAATTTCCCACAAAGTTTCAAAATTAATGTTTGTAGATTGTAATTATAATTGTTCAATTTGAATAAAGCGCAGTTTGCAATTCTGGTTCAAGTCTCTGATTAGTATAGAGCTGAAATTATTGAAAAGATATTTCTCTCTTCAGCTGGCTACAGATGGGAGACATGATTTCAATATTTTTTTTCTTGTTGAGCACATATACTATCATTTAAAAAGATACAAAGGTTACAGGGAATTCCTCTAACCGTTTACTTGCTTCTAAAGTTTTATTTTCTGATATTTGTTTTACTCGCTTAACAAAAGGCTATGAGACATAATACGCATATGAAATTAAAACTGTTCCATTGGTAACAATCTCCCGCCTCATGTTGATGGAAAGAAATCTTTTGTTTTTCTTTTGTTGGGAATTCTTCAGTCTTCCAATTGCAAAACATTGCTTGTAATTCTGTCTACAAGCTAAGTCTAGCATCATTGTGGAGCTGAGGTGATTAATTTTTCCTTCGTTTTTAATTGGCGCAGATCTAAGAGAGGAGGAATACATCAAAGAACAGATGGGTAAGTTAACTTGATCTCATGGGTGATCATATGGGGGAGGGGGGAACAGGGATGTCACAGCCTCCCACATTCCGTACCACGTTCTCCTGCTCCCCGACTCTCGACTCCCGATCTTCATTCTCTCCATTGTATTTCTCCCCTCTTCAAGTTATTCGTCGATATTCGAAAAAACTCGTTTTGGGCTATCTTTTCTCAGAAGCTCACTATTGAATCCCTATTTTTAACTGGAATGGCTACAATTTCAATCAAGATACTCAAAAGAACAATGAGAATGAAAGATTCCGATAACTTAAGCTCGACCCTGTTAAGGCCATAATGTATGTGGAACTCATCTAAAAGCTTAGCTACCTCAGGACCAGTCCTTAGTACGTACATGGTTACAATCTTGGATAAGTTACTCAGTAGTGTGCACTAA